AAGGTGATTTTTTTTGTTGCTTTGTATGTCCCTCCCCCACAGTACAACCCCTGTTTTCGTTGTATTTCATGTTGGTATAATTTGGGGGAGGGAAAGAGAAAAACAAATTGTTTAAATAGGGATACAGGTAGAACTATTGCAACAATGAGATGTACAAGGTGTTATGTCGAAAAACGAATTTTACAACTTGGGGCGGAGGGAGTATAGTCCTGCAGATGGGAGGGCAGGGATAGTAGGGGGAAAAAAGGAGGAGGCAACAATGCTTGATAAGAAATGTACTTATTACCTTGCTCATGCAATTGTAACCCTTCTGTACAGTATTTTCACAATAAAAAAACTTATTTTAAAAAAACCTTGAAATGATGCAGGTGAGCCAAAGTGCAAAAGTGTGGCTCCATCGACTTCATAGACCACAACAAAACAGGTGACAAAGTAATTTTCTATTAAACTCAAGGGATAATCACCTAGAAGTGTTGGTTTCTTTTTTCTTTTCAGGTGAATCATGTGTCCACAACCCAATCTAAATTCACAGAAAGGATGAACAATGTGACAGAATTCATCCTGCTGGGCCTCACCCAAGATCCTGAACTCCAGAAGCTCTTGTTTGCTGTGTGTTTAATCGTCTATTTGGTCACACTGGCAGGCAACACATTCATCTCAGTCACCATCTTCATCAGCCCAGCCCTGGGGTGCCCCATGTACTTTTTCCTGTACTACTTGTCCATTATGGATGCTCTCTATTCTACTTGCATTGCTCCCAAAATGATCGTGGACTCAGTTTCTAAGAAGAACACCATCTCCTTCAATAGCTGCATGACCCAGCTCTTTGTTGAACACTTTTTTGGTGCAGTAGAGATCATCTTGCTCATTGCCATGGCCTTTGACCGCTATGTGGCCATCTGCAAGCCCCTGCACTACACCACCATCATGAGTCGCCCCGTGTGTCTTTTCCTGGTGGGGGCAGCTGGAGTATTGGGGTTTATTCATGGAGGGATACAAGTTATATTTATCTCCCAGTTGCCCTTCTGTGGTCCCAATATCATTGACCACTTCATGTGTGATTTAATACCACTGCTGAAGTTGGCCTGCACTGACACTCATGCTTTGGGACCTCTAATCACTGCCAACAGTGGCTCACTGTGTTTGCTCATTTTTTCTATGCTAATTGCTTCTTATGTCAGCATCTTGCGCTCCCTGAGGAATCACAGTTCTGAGGGACGTCACAAAGCCCTGTCCACCTGTGCCTCTCACATCACTGTGGTCATCTTATTCTTCGTACCGTGTTCCTACCTGTATATAAGGCCCACGGTTTCCTTCCCCGCTGACAAAGCTGTGACTGTGTTTTGCACCCTAGTCACTCCTATGTTGAACCCTTTAATCTACACCCTCAGGAATGAGGAAGTTAAAAGAGCTATGAAGAAGCTCTGGAGTCAAATAAAAAAAGCTGATGATAAATAAATCTTGTGATTGTGCATTTAGGCAAGCATATTTATAGAAATTTAGTCTTATAATGTACTATGTGATTATTTTGCTTCTTTTGTATGTTCTTCCCCCATGGTACAATCCCTATTTTTACTATATTTGATTCCAGTGTCCTGCATCTTATATATACATTTTTTCTAATTTGGGGAGGGGAAGGGAATAAACAAAATGCTTAAATAACGATACAGGTTGACCCATTGTAACAATGAGATGTACAAGAAACTATGTTGAAAATGAACTTTACAACATGGGGGAAGGAAGGGAGGAAAATGGAAAGGTATGGAGGGAAAGGATAATAGGGGAAAAACAAAGGAGGAGTAACAATGCTCTATGTACTCATTACCTTACTCATGTAACTGTAACCCCTCTGTACAGTATCTTTACAATAAATATATATACTAAAAAAATTTGAAAATGAAATAAAGGAAGAAAGATAAAAAAGAAATTTAGTAATCAATATGTATTAAATTTTATGTGGTGTGTCATACTCCAATATATATAAATCAGGTCTCGTACAGGGTGGCTCTCATACAGGTTCTATCCTCTTAAACCCCACTAATTCTTTGTTTTGGAAATCTTTAAACTCTCCATTTTTTTTAGAAGATACACATTGAATTATTGTTGACGAATTCACTCTCTTATTCAAGTTACAATTTATGCCTCCTTTATAAATGTGTTACAGTAATTATTATTTTCCCTATACCTACTCTTCTACCTAGCGTTCAGAGATCATTACTCTGCTTTCAAATTCTATAAAAAGTTAACTTTTTAGAACCGGATGCTGGTGGCTCACGTTTATAATCCAAGCTACTAAGGAGGCTGAGATCTGAGGATCACGGTTCAAAACCAGTGTAGGCAAAAATGTGCATGAGATTCTTATCTCCAATAAACACCAGAAAACCAGAAGTGGCGCTGTGGCTCAAGTGGTAGAGCACTAACCTTGAGCTGAAGAGCTGAGGGACAGTACCTAGGCCCAGTATACAAACCCCATGACCAACAAAAAAAATTAACTTTTTAGCTCCAATATATGGTGAAAACATGCAGTATTTGCCTTTCTATGCCTGGCTTCCTAAGGTAAAATCCTCCATTCCATCTTTGTTGCCACAAATGACAATATTTCATTCTTTTTATGACTGAATACATATTCCATGGTGAATATAGAAACCTTTCCTTATTAATCTGCTAATTTGCACACATGCTTCTGTTAGCAGCCCATATACAGGCTGAGCTAACATATTTATTCAGACTAGAAGCAGTACCAAGTACCCCTGATGATTTTATGAGTTCTTACAATGTGTACCTTCTTAAAACAAAAATAAAAATAAAGATAGCCTAATAATTTTGTGAGGCAAGTTCCATGAAGGAAAGAATACTAAGGGCTCACAGTTTTTGTCCTAATTATGGATATAAAGTAGTTCAAAAGCAACGTTCTTTTTTTTTTAATTTAATTTTATTTTATTTGTGAACATACCGTACAGAGGGGTTACAATTACATGGGCAGAATAACGAGTACATTTCTTACCAAGCATTACAGCCTCCTCCTTTGTTTACCCTTCACCTCCCTTCCCAGCCTCCCCCATCTCCCCCCAATCCCAATCCTTCTCCTTCCCCCCTTCCCCCCTCCCTCATAAAGCTCGTTTTGGACATGACAACTTGTACTTCTCATTGTTACAACAGGTCCACCTGTATCCTTAAACAACTGGTTTTTCCCCATCTCCTCCACAAGTTATACTGACATCAAATATAGTGAAAGCAGGGGTTATACTGTGGGGGAGGGACATACAAAGCAACAAAGAGATAATCTTATAAATGCGTTAGAAACACATGCATGAAAGAAAAAAATCTTAAAAAGCAACGTTCTTGACACTTGTCATTCTCCTTGCAGCCAGAATGATTTATTTTTTTCTCAAAAACAACTATAAATAAGGGAGTATGACACAGTAAGAAAAGTCTCCAAGAATAATGCTCATCAGAACATCCATTTATCTCCCAAAGATTGAGTTCTCTTACTGTAGCAAGAAAACGCTTATTTGGCACAATCACGTAGAAAAAACATTTTTTACAAAAACATGCTTTTACACTGACATTTCGACCATTCCTTCTGGTAGTCAGTTGTGTGCAAGAAGAATTGGAAGAAAATGTGGCCAGGGCAAAAGAAACATAACTGATAAATCCAATCAGGTGAAGGTCATAATATTCAATGCATGTATGTAAAAAGGGAACCAGATAACTTGAGGGGATGGGTGGGGCTGGGATCCATGACAGAGGGGAGAATGATGAATGGGATGACACCAATCAAGATAGATGGAACTCATACATTGTTGTGTTGAAATAAAAACCCATTGTACAACTATTTTCAATAATGAGATAATTCTCTTAAAAGCTAAAAGCATGTTGGGTTTTACAAATGGCAAAGAAAGTATTGGCTCTACAAACAAAACTGCTGTAGAAAGAAATTGCCTGTGGTGCTAAATACATTGTACCATGGGACTGGATGACAACAATCACAGATTAGGATCACAGAAAAGAATCCAAGCTATGAGTGCAGTGAAATACTAAAAGATACAAAAATAGATGCTTTGAAGCATAGAGCAAGAACTGTGGCTCAGATAAACCTAACTTCTCATATTGTCTCCAGGAGTAGTGAAAAACTAGGAGAGGTTATTTAAACTCTCTACTAGATTCACCGGTAAAAACAAAGTAACATTATATACCTTCTTAACAGTGATGATTAAATTTTCCAAATAGAAGTTATGTGTTAGATATAAAATAGTGACAAATACCCAAACACTGAACAAACTTCAGGGATCTCATCAATGGATCAAGGATGCTCGGAGCTGCAGTTCCTGAAATACTTAAATCACAGCATAATAGTTGGAACAAATACAAAAGTTTCAATAACCATCTTACAAGAAGAACTATTGTTATTACTTTCATTGTTATTGTCACTGTATTACTGTAACAGATTGGAAAAATTACCTGTAACAATGTGCATACATTTAAAAAATTAAAAATGCAGAAAAATAGAAAATAAATTTTAAAAGAAGGACACAACCACTTGTCCTTCACTAGCCATAATCACATGAGACTCAACCTCTGCCCTGTTCCCAGTTCACTTCAAAATATTTCATAAATGTCATCTTCTCATGAGTAGTAGTAGTATTAGGTTGGACTATCATCCTAGAATAGATGTTTCATTGGGCCAGTATAGCACAAATTCACATTGAATTGAAACCCCCTTGTACAACTACTTAAAGATAGCAAAAGTTTTGTGGATACTGATTTTGAGCTCCAAAACTAGATAACTTATTGATCCATTAACCATTGACCAATTAACTCATGTCTCAGATATGAATAAATCATGCCATACATATTCCATAGTTATTTTATTATAAAGATATACAAGTCAAGGGGGGGAAACCGAGTAAACTATAACTTATAAACGTCTTTCGACATGAAAGGATGGATTCAATGGAATAAGACAATAAGTGTGAGTAAAACCGTAAGTCTTTGGAGTTTCATCTACAGGAAGAGTTGCTTTGCGTTCCTGCTTTACCATTCAGTATCCAGCTGCAATTTCCTACTGCATGAAAAATCTTTCTCATGGCATTTTTCACCTCTTCATTTCTCAGAGTATAAATGAGGGGATTCAGCATAGGTGTCAGGATACCATAAAACACCGCCATGCATTTGTCTATAGATAAAGTAATGGATGGACGCATATAACTAAACACACAGGGCACAAAGAACAAGGCGACCACAGTGAAGTGGGCCCCGCAGGTCGACAGGGCCTTGCGCCTTCCCTCAGCACTGTGGGACCTCAAAGACCTCAGGATGACGATGTACGATGCCGCCAGCATGAGGAAGTTCAGCAGGCAGATCACACCGCTGTTAGCAACCACCAGAAGACCAATGATATAGGTGTCCGTACAGGCGAGCTCCAGCAAAGGGTACAAGTCACACACGAAGTGATCAATCACATTGGGCCCACAGAAGGGCAGCTGAAGGACCAGGAGGAGTTGGATCAATGAATGCAGGAAGCCCCCCAGCCAAGCCACGCCCACCAGCATGGCACACAGATGTCTGGTCATGGTGGTGGTGTAGTGCAGGGGCTTACAGATGGCCATGTAGCGGTCATAGGCCATCACCGTGAGCAGAATGATCTCAACACCACCCAAAAAATGGGCTCCAAAGAGCTGAGCCATGCAGCTGTTGTAAGAAATGGTTGTCCCCTCATACAAGGAATCAGCGATGAGCTTAGGTGCCAAAGAAGAAGAATAAAATGTGTCAATAACGGAGAGGTTGGCCAGAAAAAAATACATAGGGGAAGCCAGGATGGCACTGAAGGTAATGGTGACCACAATGAGCATGTTGCCACAAACTGTGATCACATAGATAACCAGAAAGACCACAAAGAAAACTCTTTGTACCTCTGGCTTCTGTGAGAGTCCAAGCATGAAAAATTCTGTAATGTTGTATGATGTTTCCATGGACTCTGAGCACGCTGAGAATGCAAGTAGGAGGTTGCCTATAAAATCAAGATAAACATAAATCAGAGGATTTGTTCCGGAGGCCTTCAACTGCTCCAATTCTCTTGGTCATTTTCCTCCGCTTTGTGCCCATGCTATGGCCAGAATCATGCTAGCAAGTCAACCTAATTTACTATGCACACACACACACACACACACACACACACACACACACACACACACACACACACACTCTGCTGTATACATTTTATGTATTTCTGAGTTTCATTTTCCCTGACCTGGGTGAAATCCTTCTAGCTAAAGATCACTAGTTGTTTAGTCTACAGGGAAGACACAATACAAAAGATAAAGGGAATTTGGTAGCCTCAAAGGAGAACTCAAATATTCTAATTTTTGCAAAGGCAAAGTTTACCTAAATAAACACCAGGAAATGAGTACTTGAAAGGGGAAAGGTGGGGTCAAGGGGAGATGGGTAGAGTATTGGAGAGGAGAAGATGGGGAGCACACACTCAAGAATTCAGTGTATATTCTACAAAATTAAGAAAAGTGAGGGAAAGGATAAGTTGTGAGAGATGGGTGAGAATGTTGAAAGGGGTGACCTTAATCAAGATACCTTGTATTCATTAATTGTTATGTGGCAACTCTTTTGTACAGCTACTTAAAGGTAATAAGGGGGGAGGGTCCGGTCGAGGGGCCTGAACTCTTCCTTTCTAACATTTTGATGGGTTTCATTATGCTATTCATGTATATACACAATGTACTCCAAAGGCCGTCATCAAATAACCAAGTCTTCCAACTTGTTGAATGCTTCATACAACAACTAAAAAAGAACCATTACAAGGAAAGGAAGGACACTTCGATTTAAGAAACCTTGTGCTGATCAGAAAGCTTCTTTATCTCTTCTCTCCAAGCTTATTACAAGAAGGAAAACACAGTTTTTCAAGAGCTCAATGTTACCAAGTCTTTTTCAGAGCAGAACTTTCTAGCCAGGAGGCCAGACTCACAGTAATAAAGCCCTAATCATTGTTATCAATCACCTGCAAGATCTTTGCAAACTACTTTGCATGTATGAGCTCCTTTAAAACTCACATCATTATAAATATGTTATGAACAATAGCAAGAAAGAAAAAAAATCATTTGTGTCCCTATCTTGGGGTTCATTTAGCTTAACATCATCTTATCTGGTCATATATGAACTTTTCTGCTTGTCCCAGACATATACTAGTTATTGCAAATAAGGGAAACATGGGACCTATGTTTCTTTGGGCCTGGCTTACTTCGCTTAATATAAATTTTTCCGACTCTTTCCATTTCCTAACAAATGGGGCAATGTCATTCTTTCTGATGGAGGCATAGAATTCCATTGTGTATATATACCACATTTTCTTGATCCATTCATCTACTGAGGGGCATCTGGGTTGGTTCCATATCTTAGCTATGGTAAATAATGCTGCAATAAACATAGTCGTGCTGGTAGCTTTAGTGTGGTCTTGTTTGTGACATTTGGGTAAATGCTCAAAAGTGGGATTGCTGGGTCATAAGGGAGCTCTATGTGGAGTTTTTTGAGAACCTCCATAACTGCTTTCCAAAGTGGTTGAACAAGTTTACACTCCCACCAACAATGCAGTAGGGTTCCTTTCTAGCCACATCCCCTCCAGGATCTGTTGTTATTAGAGTTCTTGATTATAGCCATTAAAACTGGGGTGAGGTAGAATTTCAATGTTGTTTTGATTTGCATTTCTTTTATGGCTAGAGAGCTTGAACATTTGTTGATTTTTTTTTTGTTTTTTTGTATGTTCCTCACCCACGATATAACCCCTGTTTTCACTGTATTTGATGTCGGTGCCCTGCATCTTATATATCTTATATATACACTTATCTAGCTTGGGGATGGGAAGGGAAAAAACTAAATAGGGATACAGGATTGTTACAACGAGATGTACAAGATGCTATGTTGAAAAACAAACTTTACAATTTAGGTTGGGGGGGAAGGGGGTGGGGGGAGTGTAGTTGTGGAGGTGGGAAGAGAGGGTAGGGAAAAGCAAAGGAGGAGGCAACAATGCTTGATAGGAAATGTACTCATTACCTTGCTCATGTAACTGTAACCCTCTGTACAATATTTTTATAATAACAAATATATTTAAAAACGCACATCATTTCCATGAGGCAGGCTTCATTTTAATTTTCATTTTTCACAGGAAGAAAGTGAAAGATTACATTTAACAATTTTTCTGTGTGTGCTGGCCTCAAGCGCTCCATTGTTCCCCCTCCTCCTTATCATAGTTTCAGAATCACAAATAATAGGTAGAGCTGGGATTCTGCACCCATATAGACTTATCACAAGGTCTAGGGGCTTCCCTGTTTCATACTGTCACTGAGACACATCTGGGTTTAAATCATTCCTTTACCATTTATTCTCCAGGTGACCATGGACAACTTTTTAAAGCCTCAATGCTGTTATCTATACAATGGGAGGTATTCACCACTACTATATGTCAATTTCTTAATGTTTCTATAAAACTATAAAAAGATAGGTCATGAAAAATGCTATACACAGATGTCTATAAAAGGCTGGATGGTACAGTCAGTACAGGGCATCCCCTTCCACGGTGCATCATCAGCACCATAGACAGCAACTCTTCCTACAGCTGGATTTCGTTTCCTTTCACTTGATTTTTAATCAGAATTACAGATCCCACCTCAACTCAGTTAGAATGACCATTATCAAGACAACAAATGATAACAAATGCTGGTAAGGATGTGGGAATGTAACTTTGGGAATGTAAACATGTTCAACTAGGTTGGAATACAGTATGGAGTTTCCTCAAAAAAAAAAAATCCTAGGCTAAGGACACAAGTGGTTTTTTTTTTTTCTTGCTATTGTTTCTAACGTATTTATAAGGTGATTATTTTGTTGCTTTGTATGTCCCTCCCCCATGGGATAATCCCTGTTTTCACTGTATTTGATGTTGGTATAATTTGAGGAGGGGAAGGGAAAAAACATATTGTTTAAATAGGGATACAGGTGGACCCATTTCAACAATGAGATGTACAAGATGCTATGTTGATAAATGAACTTTACAACTTGGGGGGGGAGTGTAGTCGTGGAGATGGGAAGGCAGGGATGGTAAGGGAAAAACAAAGGAGGAGACAACAATGCTTGATGAGATATGTACTCATTACCTTGCTCATGTAATTGTAACCCTCCTCTGTACAGTATTCTCACACAAAAAAAAAAACTTTAAAAAAGATAAAAATAAAAAAATTATCCTATGATCAATCAATTCCACCCCTGGGCATTATCCACAAGATTAAAAACCAAGATCTAGTAAAGCCATATTCATTGTAGCACTATTGACCACAGCCAAAATATGGACTAAGGATGGAATATGAATCATGAAATTGTGATAATATATACACAATGGAATTTTATTCTTCCATTCGAAAGAATGAAAGTCAGGACCAGCGAGACAAAGGATACATGTTTTCCCTTATATGGGGAAGCTAGATTTAGTTTACAAACCTATAAGTAACTAAGTTGGGTGGTATGGAACTGTATACAAATGTATTCACTGGAATATGGTACATTTGAAGGAGATTTCCTTAGACAGGCAAAGTCAACGTTAAGCAAAAGAAACACAGGAAGTAGGCACTTGAATGGGGTGGCATGGGGCCAAGGGGAAAAGGGTAGATAAATAAAAGGGAGAAGAGGGGGGAAATGCAGTCTAGATTTCAACATGTAACCTTCAAAATTAAGAAGAGTGAAGGAAGGGGTGGTTAGGGGAGGGATGGGTGAGAATGTTGGAAGGGGTGACATTGATCAAGATACATTGCATTCTTAAACTACTTTGTTAAATGGCAACACCTTTGAACAACTACTTAAAGATAATTTTAAAAGTTATAGAAAGCGGGCATTGATGGCTCACTCCTGTAACCTTAGCTACTCAGGAAGCTGAGATCTGAGAATCATGGTTCAAAGCCAGTCCAGGCAGGAAAGTCCATGAGACTCTTACCTCCAATAAACCATTAGGAAACCAGAAGTGGCACTGTGGTTCAAGTGGTAGAGCACTCGCCTTGAGCTGAATAGTACAGGACAGCACCCAAGCCCAGCGTTCAAGCCCTAAAACCAACTAAATAAAGTTATAGAAAACTTACATTCAACTATGTGATTTTCTGTTTCTTTGATGTTCTTCCCCCATGATACAACTCCTGTTGTCACTGTATTTGATTCCAGTGTCCTGCATCTTGTACATACATTTTTCTAATTTGGGGAGGGAAAGGAAAATAACAAAATGCTGAAATAAAAGACAGGATGACCCATTGTAACAATGAGATGTACCAGACAGTATGTTGGAAACGAACTTTACAACTTTGCAGGGGGGATTGGAGAGAGGAGAGAGGAGTTGGGGTGGTGGAGAGGAAAGGGAAAGGGATGGTAGGGAAAAATAAAGGCGGGTGTAACAATGCTTAATAGGAAATGGACTTGTTATGCCAAGGTCACAGGACCCCCACCAAGAAGACCACTGAGAGTCAGACTCTACAGCTATTTTATTTAAACGGGCTGCAGCTGGGCCTCGTCCTACACTCCGACACAGTGGAGCCCAGGAGGAGAGCCCTGAGCTAAGGATTTGCAGGTCTTATAAAGGCACACAATCAACCAGGTGTTTGGATTACCACCACGTGTTGCTCTGCTAGACAGAAACAAGCAACAAGTGGTCACTGCCTCAAAACTTTAACCTTTCAGGCTCATTATCTTGCTCATGTAACTGTGACCCCTCTGTACAGTATCTTTGCAATAAAAAATATATATTAAGGGAAAAAAAAAGAAAACTTACATTCATCAGATTTGAGGACATCAAGTGGGTCTCCAGAATTTTCTTACATCATGGAGCAGTGAACCTGAAAGATTTCTGGAAGGGTCATTGAGGCCAGATCCAGGAGTCTAACCCTAAGTTTCAGTTCCATGTTTTTAAAATCTTAAACAAGATTCAAACTGTTTC